CCGCGACATGGTTGAGGGTGTCATACGCAAGCATCGACCACGTTACCATGACAAATTCCAATTTGGATGGGTAAGAGCAGGGGAGACTTAACTGAATTTAGTTTCAGTTCCTAATTGTTTTTCTCTTTCAGATTGGCGATCCGTCCATAGCGCATTCCATTATACTGGACCAATTGCCAACGCCTCATTTGATAGCGCTGAATTCCACGACTCAGCATCACTATATACCCGACGACGATCCGCTGCAGATGACGCCACAGGCTCTGCATCTGTTCCTCGAATCAATTAGCAATGAGAGCGCCACGGCCTATGGCGGTGATACGTATTTTGTACGAGTGAATCGGGCACTCTTTGAGCTGAAGCGTTCTCTGCGCGAAATGTGGCGCGGCAATCCGGTGCTGATGACTGTCATCTTTGGCCTGCCACTGGGCTTTCTGTCGCTTATCATATATTCCATTTTCTGTGGCGATTGTCTGGTCACAGAGGAAGAGCAGGAGGAGGATCACGAAAAGAAGGAGTAGAGATGCATAAACGATTACAAAAGGAAGGAGGAATAGAGGCGAGAGAGGAGCAGGAGAATGAAGAATAGAACAAATAGATCAAAGGGGAAGAGTAGATAGAGAAGTCTACGCCTTTTTCTGTCGTGTCACATATAAGTAGCAGGAGGATTACTACAATGAGTAAACAAGCTGAAGGATCAATCGATGAAAATGTAGAGCTGCTGGAGCATCTACTCTCAAAAAAATAGTTCATCCCATTGTTAGTGCAATTCTCACAATTTACAATGTACTTGCATTAAGCCAAATCTAGTCTTATTTTAAACGACATAAACATTTTGCTAATAGAACTAATGAATTTTTGATTTCATAAACGACTTTGTATGTCCTGTGAAACAGAAGCGAGGAGACCTTGGCTACGTTTCTATGGGGTATCAAAGTACTTTTATATGAAGCATAGGAGGGAGTTGATAAGTAACTACTTCAAAAGCATATAAATAGTAAGTTCTTTTTTAGTAACCAAGAGTTTAAGAATCAAAAACAGTACGGACCTGTTACCATGAATATGGAAAACCTAGAAGGGTTTGTACTTCTTTCACTTAAGATTAATATATATTGAAAGAGACAGTCGCTGCTCCTTTAAGCCTAATTTACATATGTAGGAGTGAGAGATTAAAGTGGTATATTAGAAAGCTGACATAATAATATGTCATACAAGAGAACTTGATACGGGAGATCTGGGATGTTTCCCTAGCAGGCAAAATTACCAATCTCTAGAAGTATTAATATCTGCCTTATACGAGTAAATATTTGAACCGCATTGAATACATATGCTGGCGCATACGAAAATCAGTGACAAGCCAAGGTTCACTGTATTTTCTCTCATTTTTTCTTCATTTAATAAACATAGTTGATAAAATTAGCGAAATCTCTAAAGCACATCGGTTCTTCGAATTCTAATTCGGTTGCGTGGTTCTGATCCAAGGGAAAACTGAAGCAGTTCGACTCCATTTGGGCTATAATCAGCAGCCATAGTCTTCGTCGTCGTCGCTGTCTATGGCTGCACGGCGTCTGTCGTACTTCACTGTGGGTTTGCTCTGTGGCATCTGGGCATTGACGCTCTCCAAGATGCTGACRAATTGGGCATCGTCCAGTTTACCTCGCACTTGGCCCATTTGGGCCATACGTATGACCATATTCTCGAACATTTGTGCTTTGTCCGGTTTGCTCACTTTCAGTGTGTTCACTGCAATTGAGAGCGTTTGTGTTAGTCGGGCTTCACTGTACCACTTTGTTTACTTACGTCGTGCGCGCGCCTGCTGATCGAGCACCTGGGAGAGTATTGAGTGCTTCATTTCCTCCTGGGCGCGCATTTGCTCCTGTTGCGCCTGTTGCTTCTCAGCATTGTTGCCACCGCCGCCACTCTAGATAAGCATTGAAGGGGTATATTGATTAGCGGATACCCTTTCTCTCACAGGTGTGCAGCAAGCCAGCCGCAACAGCAAAAGTTATGAGTCATGCTAAAGTGCTTCAAGACATCAAACATAACTTGCATAGTATATGCTTAAGTCGATGAATTCGTTTTTCAAATATTTTATATATTGTTTATTTTATTTCTTTTACTTTTGTTGCTATTTTTGGCATTTGGCAATAAGTTTGCCGCTGACACTTGCTGAGCACATGGTTTTGCCTTTACTTACTAATTCTGCCATGCGCTGTGCACGTAATGCATCTAAATCGCTGTCAGACATGATTACTCTTCAATTTAATATTTTAAATTTGTTATATTTATTAAAAAGTATATAAAAATATGCACTGTTCGTTCCGGCAGGCAGTGTATCGATACTTGCACACCGAATAGACCTGTCAGTAAACTATCGATAGGCGCATATCGTCACAAATGCTTATCGATACACTGCATAWGTGCACAGAGGTGGAAGAAGCAGCTACAGATATAAACAAACAGCTGAGCAAACAACAGTCTCTAGAAAAAACTATATAAAATTGTGTAAAACTTTTGTAAATTGTCAAAAAATTGCTGAAAATGACTTCGGCGCTAGAAAACTTGGAAACGCAACTAGAAATGTTCATCGAGAATGTGAGGCAAATACGTATAATCGTAAGCGATTTTCAACCGCAGGGCCAAAACGTTCTCAATCAGAAAATGTAAGAAAATCTGCGATGCATTGCAAACCAAGCTTAAACAATTATTTTTTGTTGGAAAATGCAGCAACAGTTTGGTCACCGGCTTGCAGGAAATAGATAAATTGCGGCCGCTGGTGCAGGATGTTTATGTGCCCTTCGAGGTGTTCTTCGATTACATCGACCAGGATAAGAACCCTCAACTGTATACAAAGGACTGTGTGGAAAAGGCGCTGGCCAAGAATGAAGAGGTGAAAGGCAAAATCGAGAGCTTGAAGAAATTTAAGGCCAATCTGCTACTGGAGTTGTTCAAGACTTTTCCCACTGAAATGAACAACTACAGAGCTTACAGGAAAGACTCAATCTAAATGTTAGTTTTGTAATCCCTAAAATACTATATATACGAAAAACATATAAATAAATATGTCCTTTCGTGAACTTCAAACGAACTATACAAATATATTTTGTTTATATTTTTGATTTGAATTCATCGTTTTTTCTCAGTTTCGTTCCATTCTGAAAATCTAGGATTTAAGTTAGAATTTTAGTAAAAGGGGTTGCGGGAACGACTGGAATTTTCATTCAGTTTTCAAACAAGGCATTTGGCAAAAAAATTCCGAAGGCTCCAGTGGCGCAATTGGTTAGCGCACGGTACTTATAATCAGTAACTGTGTATGAGCAATGCCGGGGTTGTGAGTTCGAGCCTCACCTGGAGCAGCAAACACAATTTGAAGTGTTGCGTATTTTTTTATTTTTATTAAATGCAAAAAAAATATTTATATAATTTGTTTGTATATAGATGCATTTTATTTTTGTAGTTGTTTTGCGCTTGCATTAAATACAAAATTATTCTGCATTGCTGTTAAAAGAGAATGTGAGAGAATACTCGGCTGTTCGATAGCGTTGCCAGACTGTTGTGAGCTGTCATATCAGCTGTTTTTTGTTATTGTGTGTTCGCTTGTGTAATTGATAAGAGCTTAGTTTTTTCATTATTGCTGCAAAATGCGGCGGACGTTTGCATATTTAAGAACTGGTTTCAGTGGATTAAATAATAATGGAATAAATGTGCTCACGGTGAGACACGCTTCATCAGTATGCTGGAATTGTCAAAAGCCGGGCAAAAACATGATATGCGGGGATTGCGGCAGTTTGCAGGATGTGGATAATAACACGGCAAGTATTTAAATAGCTGACACATGGAATGCACAATTAATTGACTGYTAGGTTCTTCCCACCTACAGAACTACTTTGAGCTGTTAAACTTTCCCACGAAGTTTGAACTACAAGCATCGGAGCTGACGCAGCGCTTCCGGCAGTTGCAGGCGCGCGTGCATCCCGATAAATACAGCAATAAGTGAGTTGACAGATTAGTTATTAGCATTCCATCTCTGACCTATGGCCACCACCTGCACCTGCAGAACTACCCGCGAGCAAACCAATTCGGCGGACTGGAGTTCCCTAATCAACAAGGCATACAAAACGCTGGCGGCGCCCGTGGAGCGAGGGCAATATATGCTGCAGCTGGAGGGCGAGCAAATGCCGCAGGATAACAGTGCACTAAATACGGCCTTCCTGATGGCCATGATGGAGCGCAACGAGGAGGTGGAAGAGGCTGACGATAGCAAGGCGCTCGATCAGCTATATGCACAAATTGTCCAAGAACTAGCTGATAAGGCGAATAAACTAACGGCACACTTCGAAACGAATGATCTGGTGGCTGTCAAGCAGACGCTGGTGGAGATGAAATATTTGCTCAGCATACAAAACAGCATTAAGAAAAAACAGCAACAGCTGATGTCCAACGGAGCGTGAATATTCAGATCGATTACTCGATAGGACATCGATAGCCGAAAAACGGCGAAATGATGAAGAAGAAGAAAATGAGAGGAACCAAACAGATGGCAGCACCGGCAAAGACTTTGCAAATATTTTGTTTCTTTGTTTTATTTTGTTTTTCTTAAAAACAACGATCAATTAAAGTGGAAAATGTAATGAGAAATACGAAAATCACCTTTCTACACCTGGCTGGGGTGCTACTAAATTAATGACTTGCAGTTGTAAGGTAATTGTATAAGCGGATCAACTTGTTTTTTCTTTTTTTTATAGTCTTTGCTGCTGCTGATCATGCGCGATCAGTGGGCGAGCGGCATGTGGGCGTGGCGAGCGCTTAAGTTAGTTTAATTATTTTACTATTGGCCCAAAAGCCAGATAAAAGTTCCCCGTGACAAATCACTCACTGCGCGGTGATAATAATTTAATCAGTTAGCTCTGCAGCGAGTWCAYACAAACTCACGTATCACTTACACCTGCCAATGCACACACACATAGACAGGCAGACACACACATACAGCCACATACATACGCACACATATTAGCGACTCATTTGGCAAATATTTACAAATTTAATTTAAATTGAAAATGCTTCTTACTTTGCAATGTCAGTGCTGCTTAGTTCATCGACTGAAGGAGCTGCGCGCATTCGATTGAAGAGACTACAACAACAACAACAACGACCAGTTGCGACGATGTTGAGGACGATTCACTCGACCTGTGTCGGTTTGCTGCTCTGCTGCTTAGTTCCGTCGTCTGTGGCCGATGTGGATGGCACCATATCCCCCATCATCGGCGTGCTCGCCCAGGAGGTCTATCCAAATGGCCTGATTGCCAGAAACTTCAATGCCACTAGCTACATAGCCGCCTCCTATGTGAAGTTCGTGGAGGGCGCTGGCGGGCGGGTGGTGCCCATCGGGTGAGTGCTGACGGAGACAGCAAAGTCAACCGGGCCTTATCACAGCTAAGATCAGATAAGGCGTGATTGAATTGTTTACAACTGTGATGGTGTGCCATGACAGGCAAATTTCAAATCTATATTTAGCATATATATATACTCAGACTTAAAGCTAATTTATGGCATCTTATTAACTGTTCAAGCACTGGACACAATCGCAGCTACTACGAGCAGTTGCTCAAGAAGATCAATGGGTATGCCAACCGACTAGCGACTATGACTAAATCGTTGGGTTAATTTAATTGAATTAATTTAATCTGCATTTAGTCTACTGCTGCCTGGCGGCGCGACTTACTTCAACGAGACAAACGGCTATGGTGATGCGGGCGAGCACTTGATAGCCGTGGCCAAGCAGCTGAATGATAACGGCACTTATTTTCCGGTGTGGGGCACGTGCCTGGGCATGGAATTGCTTGTCTTCAAAATGGCAAATAATACGGAAACGCGCTCTAATTGCCAGTCCATAGGACAGTCTCTGCCACTGGAACTGAAACCGGGTAAACATTGACGAGAGGCTACCTGAATCATCTTGTGGTTATATTAAAAAAAAAAAAAAAATCCCTTCCAGACTACAGAAAGAGTCGTTTGTTTGCCGGCGCCAGCGAGGAGCTCATCGGGAAGCTGAGCAAGGAGAATGTCACCTATANAATTTAAATTGAAAATGCTTCTTACTTTGCAATGTCAGTGCTGCTTAGTTCATCGACTGAAGGAGCTGCGCGCATTCGATTGAAGAGACTACAACAACAACAACAACGACCAGTTGCGACGATGTTGAGGACGATTCACTCGACCTGTGTCGGTTTGCTGCTCTGCTGCTTAGTTCCGTCGTCTGTGGCCGATGTGGATGGCACCATATCCCCCATCATCGGCGTGCTCGCCCAGGAGGTCTATCCAAATGGCCTGATTGCCAGAAACTTCAATGCCACTAGCTACATAGCCGCCTCCTATGTGAAGTTCGTGGAGGGCGCTGGCGGGCGGGTGGTGCCCATCGGGTGAGTGCTGACGGAGACAGCAAAGTCAACCGGGCCTTATCACAGCTAAGATCAGATAAGGCGTGATTGAATTGTTTACAACTGTGATGGTGTGCCATGACAGGCAAATTTCAAATCTATATTTAGCATATATATATACTCAGACTTAAAGCTAATTTATGGCATCTTATTAACTGTTCAAGCACTGGACACAATCGCAGCTACTACGAGCAGTTGCTCAAGAAGATCAATGGGTATGCCAACCGACTAGCGACTATGACTAAATCGTTGGGTTAATTTAATTGAATTAATTTAATCTGCATTTAGTCTACTGCTGCCTGGCGGCGCGACTTACTTCAACGAGACAAACGGCTATGGTGATGCGGGCGAGCACTTGATAGCCGTGGCCAAGCAGCTGAATGATAACGGCACTTATTTTCCGGTGTGGGGCACGTGCCTGGGCATGGAATTGCTTGTCTTCAAAATGGCAAATAATACGGAAACGCGCTCTAATTGCCAGTCCATAGGACAGTCTCTGCCACTGGAACTGAAACCGGGTAAACATTGACGAGAGGCTACCTGAATCATCTTGTGGTTATATTAAAAAAAAAAAAAAAATCCCTTCCAGACTACAGAAAGAGTCGTTTGTTTGCCGGCGCCAGCGAGGAGCTCATCGGGAAGCTGAGCAAGGAGAATGTCACCTATAATTATCATCGCTTCTGCTACACGCAGCAGAGCTTCACCGTGCCCAAATTGAACAACTCGTGGCGCATCATGTCCCTCAATCATGACGTGAATGGCTTGGAATTTGTGTCCAGCATTGAGCATCTGACTTATCCCTTCTATGGCGTACAATTTCATCCGGAGAAACCGCTCTACGAGTTTGTCAGCAATAAGGTGCCGCACTCCCCCTCAGCGGTGCAAAGCTCACAGTATTTCGCCGACTTCCTCATCAGCGAAGCGCGCCGCAATTCCCACAGCTACACCAATGCCACAGAGCAGGCGCGTTCGCTGATCTACAACTACAAGCCGGAGTATACTTCGGTATTGGGCTCCAGCTATGTGCAGCAGTATATATTCGGGCAGCCGGACATCGCTAATGACGTTGATGATGAAAGCACCTATCCCTATTACAATGGTCGCAATGCTGCTGCAGCTCAATTCAACGGATTTCATTTGGTGCTCGCATTTTGTTCGACTGTTTTGGCCATGCTAATGCAACTTCTTTGCGAGCACTAATGTCTATTTGTGGATTAAGACTGTGCAGACATCTACCAGAGTTTTTCTTTGTTACTTAGATAGCTTTTGATTTTTATATCTGCCTGCCTGACGCGACTTTTCGTTTGTAATGCTTGATGTGAATTAATAAATGTTGGCTAAACTGCAAGTTGAAGAATTGATTAATTCCTTAACACTGTTTGTTCCCAGAAAAGATATGATTAAAAAGAAACAAAAATGTTTTTGTTAATTCGTAATATATTTGATCTCTTGAAAATTGAAATTTATCTCCCAAGTGTTGAGTCAAAAATAGTACAAACACCTTATCAAGTGCGGGAATAATTTCAGCGAATGATAACGCAAAGTTGCATTCAGCATCATATGAATGCCGTTTCGCATTATTGGAATTCCAGTGCAAAATTTATTGTTCCAGTCTATCGAAATAATAAGCTCAGTAATTATTTTTTCCTGTAATAAAATGAATATTTATTTAGTAGTTTATTTTCTATTTTCCTTTATTTGTATTATCTCTTAATTTTGTACTTTTTAACTTTTTATGTATATTATTTTTGCAGCCGCCTGAAGCTATGCTTGTATTAGGCATTTAAAAGCTTTACTATAGCCTGGTTAATGATTGTAAATATTGATAGTCCTGCAGATATTGAAAGAATTCGCAATATCCTGAGACGTAAACTTCTAAAATAAACTGGATACAATGCTATTCAAATGACTGTATCTCTCCTCCTCTCCTCTTCTGTCTATGTCTCTCTCGAATAAATGTGTGACCTGAGTGTGCTTTCGAGCTTTATTCACTAAAATGAAATGAGGAACCATATTGCCTTTTTGCAAACTCCATCGTGCTGTCCGTCCGTCCGTTCGCCAACTCGTCCCCCCCATCGTCCGTCTGTGTGTCGAGCTAGAGACTTTAAATTCGAAACTGATTCACATGTTGCAGACTGCAGCGTTCATTGCTGTTTATCTCTGAGGTTTTATGCAGTTGCGGGTGAGGGCCTTCATTCAGTTGTGCGGCAAATGGCAAACAGTGCGGATAAATCGACTCGCGATCCATGTGTGGTGGGTGTGGTCTGCATGGATATAGCTAGTGCCTTRTATGAGCATAGCGCGGACCCGAAGCCGGCCAGCTATATAGCGGCTTCGTATGTGAAATACCTGGAGGCGGGAGGTGGCCTTGTGGTGCCCATTTGGTGAGTTCATATTTGGGATTTGCTTGGCAGCTGCGTGCACGGCATCCTCATTTCGTTTGTTATAGAATGCTTAAATGTGTTTCTCTGATTCATTTATGGCTGTCAATTACAAATCAATATTCTCCAAATGTTGCACGTTGTCTGCTCGTATAGTCTATACGTGATAGTTGATGCATTCTTCCATTATCGCAAGAATGCAACAGAGTGACAGGGGCAGCGCCGATATGGGGCAGCGTCCAGCTAAAATTGCCATCATCAAGCATTGATAATTACTTGCCTGCGTCTTACTTCAGTTGGGTTCAGCATAGTGATCATGGCAAAATGTCTCCTTTAGATTTTGAAATGGAACTGTCAAGCCATGAAATGAATCTACGCTACGTTAGCTGTCAATATAATGAGCAAATTTAATTTGAATTTTAAATACACTACTAGATTTAGAAATTCGTGACACGCTTTATAAGCAGTGCCCCACTGTGCAAAAGGTGAATTAGTGTTAACGCATCTATATATTCGTCTACCCATGTGTTTAGCTCTCTGACGAAAGCCAAGGTGCTTTCGCACCGCCCTTCAAGTTCAATAACAGATAAAATACTTTATGTATAAATCTTATCAAATACACAACACATTCATAAATTTATATTAGGAAAAGACGCACAGCTAGCCGATAGAAATGTAAATTCTCGTTTGAGCTTCTTTTCTTTCTAGCAGAGAAAGCCAATATACCCCCTTCTCTAGCTTGCACAGTGTGAGAACTGTGCCGGCCAAGGTTATTGGCAAAATGCCCGGCGCAATAAGTTGCGTTCGTTGCGTTTGTTTATGCACATGCAAAGCAATTAATGAAATGAAATTTATTTTAGGATCGGACGTGATCGCAATTATTATGAGCTGATGATGAGCCGCATCAATGGGGTGCTGCTCACGGGTGGCGCTGTCTATCTGGACGATGAGGACAACCCTGCGGCGGTCCCTTCATGGATGACCAATGACTGTGTGAAGTCGATTCAATATATCTATGAACTGGCCCTCCAGCGAAATAAAGCGAACGAATATTTTCCGATCTGGGCCACATGCTTGGGCTTCCAGCTGATGCTGAAGAATGCAGTGCCGTCAATGAAGCGTGCAGCATGTGGCGAAACCATATCCAGGGCACTTTCGCTCCAGCCAACTGAGGATTATGACAGCTCGCCGATGTTTCAGGGCCTCAGTCCGGAGTTGCGCACACGCTTGCAGAGCGAACCATTTGCTTGCTATCAGCACAAATACTGCATCACGGAAGAGAGTCTGGGCGCAGCGGCCAGCGATTGGCGTGTGCTGGCCACTGGGAGGGCGAGAAGCGGGATGAGCTTCATCACGCTCATCGAGCATAGGAAATACCCACTATACGGCTGCCAGTTTCATCCCGAGCGTAGCGCATACGAGCAGCTGGTCGGACGGCAAGACCCGTGGACTGAGTCCCACACCAATCACGGCATTCAGCTCAACCAACACTTTGCCCATTTCTTTGTGGAGGCCTGCCGAAGGAACTCGAATCGTTTCGATAGTCTGGAGCAGCTGTCGCGCCACTTGATCTACAACTGGATGCCGGAGTTCAGCGGTCGCCACAATAATGTCAACTGGCTGCAGGTCTATCTCTTTCCCAAGGACGTGGACTACGTGAAGAAGGCCGAGGAATGCTCAGAGACCTGAGCTAAACAGCAGCAGCAGTGGTTTTAGTCAGTGCCATATAAAATTCTACGTATTTACTCTGATATTAAAGTATTCAGATAACATTCCAATTAAATTTGCGTTTTCTTAAGGGAGCTAATGAAGCGAAAAGAAGCTCTGGTGCTTCCTGATAAACATATGTATATGAAACGAGTCACAAATCATTTAAGAACTTAGTTTACTTCTTACAATATTTGGGACTCCTTTCATAAAGGAACGACTCTCGTCCAGAGTCTCGTCTATTCGGTAGTTAAGTCTGCCTCTACCCAAAAGCCAGAAACATTACATATTTGGATTCTAATAAGTAGAGTCTCGCCTAACCAAGAACACTTTGACTTTTCTGATCTGATCTGATCTGGACTGTTACAAATGACGTCTGCCCCTCCTCCCTATCGCGCTCTCTTACTTAGCTTTCGGTCGGCACATACAACTTTCGTGTATTTTTATACTCATTCACAAAAGTGAATTAGTATATTGGTTTTGTGCAATGTCCGTCTTGCTGTCCGTCCGTCTGTCCGTATGAACAAAATCTATTTCGGCGCTATTGAAGCTACAGGCTTGAAATTTGGAACACATACTCGTGTATATCTCCGATTTATAAAGTGTTATAATTTTCCCGATCCGCCTACTAGGGGCGTGGCAAGCCGGAAAATGCATTATTGCACTATTGATGCCAGAGACCTCAAATTTTGTATATATACTCGGMCTGATCACCCAAGACCAAAAAGTTTTGCCGAATATATGTCCGCCCACAGGGGGCGTGGCAAACCGCAAAAGTTTATATCTCCTAAAGTGTAATAGTCAGAAGCTTCAAATTTAGATAGTTAAGTTACCAGTAACCTCCTCTATCGATGACTCAAAAATAATTTTTAGGCCTCTTTAGTGGCGTGGCATATCGAAAAATACCCTGTAATTTTCACATATTTTGAGGTTAAGCATTCAAACTTTGCAGTTAGGGTACCGTTATCACGTTCTAAGAACTGACAAAAATGAGGTGTCTACGCCCAGTAGGGGCGTGGTAAATCGTAGCTACTAATTTGTTGATGGGATGTGAATGAGTATTCCGCTGTCGGTAACGCCCGACTGCAACGTTCTTACTTGTTCCATTTGACCTTTCTTAGCACGTGCCTGGGGACGCGCCAACCACTCCTGTATCTATTTGACCATGTGTATTTGTTTTTCTAATTAGCCCTGTGTCTTTGGTGTTTAGGTTCCTCGTCTTTGTCTGTTTTTTGTTCCTTTTGGGCTTGTGCGCATTTGTCTGGCGCGTGTTTGTGCAGTGCCACCAGCCAGGCCCAGGCCCAGGCCCAGCACCCTCCAACCGCAATCACCTGGTGGGGTTAAGGTTCAAATTGACGGACAGCATTAAAATAATTGTGGCTCGTCTGTGGCAACATGTTATTGTTATTGCTGTGCCTCATTGTTTGGCTTAGACGGCATTGTTGTCCGGACATGGTGTTCGCTTTTTCTGCCTCCTCTTATAATTGTCTTTCTTCTTCGTCTATATGCCTCCACCCAAGTGCTGTCTCCCTTTGCGCGATAGCGACATCTAGCGACGGCGGTGTGGACATGTCAAATTACTCATACGCCACGCGTGACGGAACCCTTTTTACATGTGCTTACTGTTTCGGCCACGTAGACAGAATTATTGTAATTTTTCCATCACGAAAACATGAAATTAGAGCGAGTGATATGCCAAACATAGAATATTCTTAAAAAAAAAAAATTTATGAAATGTATATGTGCATATACAAATATTTCAAATATATGTATTAAAAAATATTATAAAAAGATAATTTGTTATTTT